AACCCAGCAGTCATGATCTTTGATATTTATCCAAATGAGTTGAAATCTTATGTCCACACAAAAACCTGCACAGGGATGTTTAGCAGCTCTATTCATAATAGTCAAAGCTTGGAAGCAACCAAAATGTCCTTCAGTAGGTGAATGATGAACTGTGGTATGTCCAGACAATGGAATATTCTTCAGTGCTAAAAAGAAGTGAGCCATGAAGCCATGAAAATACATGGAGGAAGCTTACATGCATATTACTTAGTGAAAGAAGCCAATTTGAAAAGGCTATATATTGTATGATTCCAACTATATGACATTCTGGAAAAGGCAAAACTGTGGAGATAGTAAAAAGATCAGTGGATGTCAGGGATTGGAGGTTGGGGAAGAATGAAGAGGCAGAGCACAGAGGACTTTTAGAGCAGTGAAAACACTGTGTGATAGTATAATGTTATTCATGTTATTATTATGTTATTATTGCATTATGTTGTTATACGTTTGTCCAAACTCATAGAACATACAACACCGAGAGTGAAACCTAAGGTAAACTATGCAGAAAAAAATTAATTAAACACAAAGGAATGCAGTACGGGAGAAAATAAGGGACAAAAAAATCTATAACCTATAGAAAACATGTAACAAAATGGCAGAATTTATTTCCCTATCAGTAGTTACTTTCAATGTAAATGGATTATTTTACCCAATCAAAAGACATAGATTAGCAGAATAGATTAAAAAAAAAAATACCCAGCAGGGGCTGGCCCTGTGGTGTAGTGGTTAAGTTCACATGCTTCACTTCAGAGGCCCAGGGTTTGCAGTTTTGGATCCCGGGCATGGACTTATGCACCCCTCATCGAGCCATGCTTGGGCAGTGTCCCACCTACAAAATAGAGGAAGATGGGCATGGATGTTAGCTCAGGGCCAATCTTCCTCAGCAAAAAGAGGAAGATTGAAAGATGGAAAAAGTTATTTTGTGCAAATAGTAACCAAAAGAGAGCAGAGGTGGCTACACTGATATCAGACAAAGGACACTTTAAGTCAAAAATAGTTACAAGAGCCAAAGAAGGACGTTCTATAACGATAGAAGGATCAATTCACCAAGAATATGTGATAGTTATAAACATGTATGCACTAAACATCAGTGCTCCTAAATATATGAAGCAAACATTAATGGAATTCTAGGAAGAAATAGACAGCTGTATGATAATAGTGGGAGTCTTCGGTATCCCACTTTTAATAATGGATAGAACAATCAGACAAGATCAGTAAGGAAATAGAAGACTTGAACAACACTATAAACCAATTGGACCTAACAGATATATCCATTCAACAATAACAGAATATATATTCTTCTCAAATCCCATGGAACATTATCCTAGACCACATGTTAGGCCACAAAACAAGTATTAACAAATTTAAAAAGATCAGAGTTATACAAAGTATCTTTTCTGATCACAATGTAATTAAACTAGAAATCAATAATACAAGCAAAAACTGGAAAAATCACAAATATGTGAAAATTAAATAACACTCTTGAGCAACCAATAGGACAAAGAGTAAATCACAAGGGAAATTAGAAAATATCTTGAGAAAAACAAAAACAGAACATACTAAGACTTATGGGATGCAGCAAAAGCAGTATAAGGAGGAAGTTTATAGCAGTAGATGCCTACATTAAAAAAGAAGAAAGATTTCAAATCAACAACCTAATTTTACACCTCAAAGAAAAAGAACAAACTAAACCCAAAGTTAGCAGAAGGAAGGAAATAAAAAATATTAGAGCAGAAATAAATGAAATAAAGAATAGAAAAACAATAGGGAAAAAATCAGTGAAACTAAGAATTGCTTTTTTGAAAAAATCAACAAAATTGACAAACTTTACCTATACTGACAAAGAAAAAAAAGAAAACTGAAATAACTAAAATCAGAAACGAAAGAAGGGACATTACTACCAATTTTACAGAAACAAAAAGGACTATAAGAGAGTACTGTGGACAATTGTACACCAACAAATTGGATAACCTAGATGAAATAGACAAATTCCTAGAAACACACAACCTATCAAGACTGCATCAGGTGGAATTGGAAAATCAGAATAGATCTATAACTAGTAAAGGGACTGGATCAGTAATCAAAACCCTCCCAACCAAGAAAAGCCCTGGACTAGGTGGTTTTGCTGGTGAATTCTATCCAGGCAAATAATTTTTGTGGGGTCTGTGCCAATGTAAACAATTTAAGTTGACTAAAACCAGCACATCAGCACCATTCTGGCAATTCAGTCTCACTCAATCTTGTGAAAGAAATACTGCTCCAGCCAATGAGGGTGATCCACTTGCCAGGATGTCTTAGTCCGTTCATGCTGCTCTAATAAAATATCATAAACTGGGTGACTTATAAACAAGAGAAACTTATTTCTCACAAGTTTGGAGGCGAGGAAGTCCAGATTAAGGTGTTAGCACATTTGGTGTCTGGAGAAGGCCCCTTTCCTGGTTCATAGATGGCTGTCTTTTCTCTGTGTCCTCACATGATGGGAGGGGCCAGGCAGCTCTCTGGGGACCTTTTATAAGAGTACTAATACCATTCATGAGGGCTTCACCCTCATGATCTAATTACCTCCCAAGGACCCCACCTCCAAACATCATAACATTGGGGATTAGGCTTCCATATATGAATTTTGAGGAGACACAAACATTCAATCTATAGCACCAAGTTATGCTCCTGGAACCAGGACCCAGCTGTGAGGTCCCAGGACAACTCAATAGGCATGAGTCCTAGGGCTCCTTAGGTAGAGGGCCACTGAGCTCTGCAAAGGGAAGAAATGAGGACCTGGGCCCATGCGGTTTTGTCCAGGGTTGGGCACCTTTCCAGGATGACACTGCTGGCTCTAACTGGTCCCAGGCACTGGAAGGGGCTCAGAAAATTTCAAGGAAGGCATTCCAGAACATGGAGAGTGCTCTGCGCCCTCTGAGGTTCAGAGTCCGAGGCAGGAACCAGGCCACAAGCCTTTCCTCCTTGTGTGCTAAGTGATTAGGAGCCCTCACTTATTTCTTCCCTAGTTTGAAAAGGACTTCTCTGGACTCTTCAGTGCTCTGTTTCTGAAGATTTCCCCTAGATCCATGGTAAGATTAGATTATCTGAAAAATAAATTTTGTCTATGACTGGAGTTATTGCTACTAGAGAAAGTCAGAGCCTGGGGTGTAGGTCAGAATCAACCAGCCCCCAGTGACCTTCATCCTGGTGTCCCAAATCATTAGGAACCCTCACCTGATTTCCTGTATTTTGAAAACAACTGCTCTGGACACTCTAGTGCTCTGTTTCTAAAGATTTCACTAGTTCCATGGTGAGTTTAGTGCCCAGTATGGATACAAAGTTCTGTGGGAGTCCTGAGTAGAGAAGGACAGACATGGGAGTTCTGGGAAGGATGAGAGAAGTTTGTCAGGTGACAAAAGTCGAGGAGGGCATTGGAGTCTCAGAGCACACCTGTGAAAGGGCACAGAGGCCCCAGGTCACATGGGGAGTGGTGACTATTCTGGTGCACATGGAGTGGTGGCATTCACTGAACACCTAGTCTGGCCCCTATAATTTGCTGAGTGTCATGTGGACTATATGTTTCTTTTTTTCTTCTATATGGAATGGTCATGATTGGCATATGGATTTTCTTGATCTCACCCCAATTGTCCAAATGGTCTGGGGCCCCAAAATTATTGTTGTGTCTTAGCTCTGGCTTCTATTACAAAAACACCATAGACTGGGTGGCTTATAAACAACAGAAATTTAATTTTCAGAGTTCTGGAGGCTGAGAATTCCAAGATCAGGGTGCCAGCATGGTCAGATTCTGGTGAGGAGCCTCTTCTGGTTGCAGACTACCAACTTCTCGTTGTAGCCTCAAAAGATGGAGAGCAGAGAGGGGAAGCAAGCTCTCTTGTGATTCTTATAAGGGCACTAATCTTATTCATGAGGGCTCCACTCTCATGACCTCATCCGTTCCTAATTACCTCCCAAAGGCCCCACCTCCTAATACCATCACATGGTGGGGGAGGGTTCAACATATGAATTTTGGAGGGACACAAATATTCAATCCTTAACAGTTGCTTACATATGATCAGGAATTTATAGAGACAGAAGTGATATCCACAGTCTGCAGCTGAGCCTCTGCAGGACACTGGTCCAGCAGTGGACAGGAATATTCTGACCCCTTTATAACCTTTCCTAGTGTTGTGTTTGCTACCTGTGATGGACTCTACTCTTAACTGTTTCTAGGCCATCTATGGCAAAGCAGTGATCTCAGTAGAACTTAAAGGGACAGAGCTGATGAATTAGGGATACTTATACTAAAGTAGGTGTTTTGTATATAAGAATTTTACCTCATTGAAAATATGTGGATACCTGATAGGAAAAGGGCACAGTGACTTGGCCCACCTTGCTTAAGATCTATGGCTAAAATGTGTGAATCTAATTCATCCTTGCAAGAAGGAAAAATTATTCTCATGGCATGTTGCTGGATGTCCTTGGATCCCCACTTAGAATTTTCTGAAAGGATTTCCCAATTAAAGGAGAGAACTAATTAAGGTAAAAGCTGAAATTATTAAAATAAAAGTAAAGTAGAAATAATATATAAAACTAAAACTTGGTTCACTGAGATCCAAAACCTAGATAGGCTCTCCTCAGGGGCTTATGTAAGGAAAGGAGAGAGAACACAAGTTATACAATATTAGGGATTAGAAAGGAGATTTAAACACAGATAAAGATGAGATTAAAGCAATTAGAAGAGGATCATACAAAACTATGGAAAAAATTCAAAAACTTAGTACGAATAGAAATTATTATAGTCTCACCTCAAAATCTGTCCCACAAAGTTACTTCCTACCTGTATCTTTACTGTGGCATTTAGTGGAATATATACAGCAAAGGGTTTTGCTGGATTTGCCTCTCACTACAGAATTGGCGGTGTCTCCTGCTCAAGTCCTAGTCTAATGACTCTGTTTGTTTTACAGAAAAAGATTTCTGCTTGGAAGTTAAACAGCTACTGGGAAAATGGATATCAGTATTGATTTGGAAACTGACTATCCTGAGCTGGTTCTGTATGTGGGAAGAGTCACTCTTGGGGAGAAGAACAGAAATAAAATGAATCCTCAACTGAGAAAAATGCAGAATTATAAAATCTCACAAGCTGTGTGTGGTAAAGTGAATTCTGGAGGGGGAGTGATCAAGGCTAAAATTGAGAATGAAAACTATAGTTTCAAAAGTGATGGAATAGGATTAGATTTGGAAAATTCTTTTCAGAATATGCTTCTGTGTGTTCCTAAATACCTAGACTTCATGCAGCAAGGTAACTACTTTCTGATTTTTGTCAAATCATGGAGCTCACAAATCACTGGTATGAAAATTGTCACCTTGAGCTCCAATTTGTACAAAAGAGATGTGACATCTGTAAATGTCATGAGTCCCATGGCTGCACTGGACTTTCTCAAAGACAGGAAAGAAAGTGGAGAGTGGTTTTCTAGAAACATTTATCGCCTCCAAAGAGATTCCGTTTTGATATACAAGAAGAAAGTAACATAGAGGCCTTGGCTGCTGACGTTTTTAACAGGACGCGACTTAGGTACAAAGGAAAACTCATCTTTACTGAATCCACACATGTTGAAATGAAACAATTCTCAACAGAAAAGCGGTTTCAATACATTAAAGAGATTCTCCCTCAACATGTTTCTGCATTTGCAAATACTGATGGGGGATATTTGTTTATTGGTGTTAGTGAAGATCAACAAGTAATTGGCTTTAAAGCAGAGTTGAGTGATTGTGAGCAGTTAGAAAGAGAAATAGAAACATCCATCAGGAAGTTGCCTGTCTATCACTTCTGTGGGAGGAATAGGGAGATAAATTACTCGTGCAAATTCCTTGAAGTATTTGATGAAGGACGTGTTTGTGGGTATGTTTGTGCTCTCAAAATAGAGCGATTCTGCTGTGCAGTGTTTGCTAAAGACCCGGATTCCTGGCGTGTGGAAGACAACCGTGTGAGGCAGATAACCGTGAATGAATGGATTCAGTTCATGGTGGATGCTGAACCAAGTGAGGAAGGACCAAGTGAGGAATTTCTGATACTTTCTTTTTTTTTTTTTGGGAGGAAGATCAAACCTGAGCTAACATGTATGCCAATCCTCCTCTGTTTTTGCTGAGGAAGACTGGCCCTAAGCTAACATCTATTGCCAATCCTCCTCTTTTTTTTCCCTTTTTTCTCCCCAAAGCCCCAGTAGATAGTTGTATGTCATAGTTGCACATCATTCTAGTTGCTGTATGTGGGACGCCGCCTCAGCATGGCTGGACAAGCAGTGCGTCGGTGCGCGCCCGGGATCCGAACCCAGGCCGCCAGTAGCGGAGCACACGCACTTAATCGCTAAGCCATGAGGCCAGCCCCAGGAATTTCTTATCCTTAGAAATAAGGATACATTTGGCAAGGGTGGCAGGAAGATTTTTTCTTTGGGATTTGGGGCAAGATCAGTAGTCCTCAGATTTCAACACCTAATTTACGAATCTCTGGTGGCTACAGTCAATAGTTCACTCTCTCTTCTTTTCTTCTACCTGCTTAGAAGATAGCGATTCCTTACAGAAAGCACATTATCTTCTCTCAGTAGCACTACCTGTTACAAAGATCCGATTAACCCTGTGTTTCTTCCCTACCAGCGCTTTATGCACTTTCAAGGAAAGCCTGTTCAGTCCTCCTCCTTGTTCCTTCTAAGCTCAGTTTCAGGAACTGACCATTTCTTTCTCTCAGGAATGCTTGCCTCTTTTGTTTACTTGCTCCTTCATCTTTCTTTACCCCTTTCCATTTATTTCCCTTGAAACCTCTTCCTCTCCTGTCTTTTCCATTTGTGATGCAAAATGTAACCCTGAATTGGACTATTGGACTAAGAAAAGAAAAATGCTGGTATTTTATTTGATTTTGGAAAAGGAAAGCCTCGAATGAAATTAGGCCAGCACTAGTAACTTCTAAAATCTCTGAAAACACAAGCTTCTTCCTTAGAATCTGCACAAAACTCAGCTCTCCTTCACTAGCCATCACATCTAATTTTAATTGCTTTTAAAATGAACCCACTTGCATGGTAAGGGATTCAATTATGATTAAAACATTTTTCCTATTAATTTTCATTCCAGGTATAGTATGTTTCAGCAGCATCAAGGATTAAATTTACAATTTGTGTCTAACCTAGGAATCTAACCACAACATCTAACAATATTTCTATTGGGAAAACGGGGTTAGTTCTATGCGGACTTTTGATAAACTATGCATTAGTCAGTTGAGGGTCTCCTTTGTGGCAAATTAAGAATGTATTTTTGTTTTTTAAGACTTTTCCAGGTTATTTGAAGAGATGAGCCTTCAACAAAGTATGTCATCACCTATTCCCCAGAGTCGGCCTGTTTATAATGGTAAGAATTCAGAAAGTCAGCAGCAGAGATGCCACCTTGCAGGTAGTTTAATTCTGGTTTCTTGGACTTCTTGGTGTGAATATGCTCAAGTGTCCTTCTCTTTAGATCAGCTTTCTCTTGAAATTTGTCACCAAAGCACACTCTGGTGTTTATGGGAATGCTTAGGTGTTTTTAGTCATTGATTATGTCCGAGTGTAATTCTGTAGATTTTGATTAGACTTTTCTTGGTGTAATAGGAACTCCTTTAATTGAAAGTAAGAGAAACTTAACTCAGTTTAGTTTAAACAAAAAAGGAAGTATATCGTGGGGAAGTCTAGACTGGGCCCCAGCTTCACACATGGCTATATTCCGTTACTGAAGAAATGCCTTGAGTACTCAGCATCTCTGATTTGTCTGTTTTTGTTTATGGGCAACATGTTTTCTACTATCTGAACAGTGTTCCCTTGAATATTCTTGTTCAGTCTTCTAGCACATATTTGCAAGAGTTTCTCTTAGGTGCACACCTAGAAGTAGAATTGCTGGGTCAGGAGGTATGTGGACATTCAAGCAATAAGCTAACGCCAAATTGTTTTTCAAAGTAGGTGGGTCACTTTACTCCCATCAACAGTATATTAGAAATGCCACATCTTCTGCAGTTGTCAAACTTCGCATCGTCTTTCTTCTCCTCCTCTTTCTCATCCTCCTTCTTCCCAGTCAAAGGGTATAAAATGGTATCTCTTTGTGGAATGCATTTCCCTGATTACTAATTTGGTTGAGCACCTCTTTATATACTTATTGGCTGTATGTCTTTCATCTTCTATGAAATACCTATTCTGTCTTTTGCCCATTTTTCTACTAGGGTTTTGTTTTTTTCTAGTTGATTTGTAGGAATAATTTACAGATTCTAGAACCCAAATCCTCGTTTGGTCATGGGTATTGCAGATAACAGATGTCTTTTCCAAGTCTGGTGGCTTGCAGTTTCTCTTTTCTTAAGGCATATTATGATAATCAGTAGTTTTATATTTTAGTATAATGAAACTTACCATGTTTTAATTTTGTCGTTTAGTGCTCTTTATGCCTTGTATAAGAGATCCTTCTCTACCCTAAGATTACAAAGATATTTCCCTTCATTTTCTTCTAAAGGTCTTAAAGTTTTGCACTTTACATTTAACATTTAAATCCTCAATCCATCCCTATGAACAGTGATGTAGGGGTGCTACTTCATTTCTTCCATGTGGATAAACACTGTCCCAGTTCCGGTTCCTGAGTAGTTCCAGTTTCCCAGACTGATCTGCCACCACCTCCAGCATCTTACTAAGTACATCTAGTATAGCCCTATTTCTAGAATCTCTGTTACGTTGCCTTGGTCAGTTTGTCTGTCCCTACATGCACTACACTGTCTTAATATTGTAATATTATACTAAATATCAATATCTGGTAGGGTAAGCCCCCTTACTTTTATTCTTTTTCTTTGAGTGTGTCTTGATAATTTTAGTCATTTAATCGATCGTACAAATTTTAGAATCTGCTTAAGTGCCACAAAAAAACCCTTTTGGGATTTTGATTGCAGTTACATTGAATCTGTAGATAGATTTGGGAAGAAATGACATATTTACATCGGTCAGTCTTTGTATTCTTGAACATAGGAAATCTCTCCACTTATTTATATCTTCTTTAATGTCTTTAAAGTTTTATAAATTTCTGTATACAAGTTTTATACATCTTTTGTTACATTTATTAGTAGGTTCTTTTAATTTTTGTTGTTATAAATGATATTTTTCTTTGAAAGTTACATTTTCTAATTGTTTGTTGCTGGTGTGTAGAAATGCTGTTGATTTTATATTACACCACCTTGTTAGACTTTCCTTGTATTTCCAATAATTTTTCCATAGATTTTTTTTTTTTTTTTGGTGAGGAAGATCAGCCCTGAGCTAACATCCATGCCAATCCTGCTCTTTTTTGCTGAGGAAGACTGGCCCTGGGCTTACATCCGTGCCCATCTTCCTCCACTTTATATGGGACGCCGCCACAGCATGGCCTGACAAGCAGTGCATCGGTGCGCGCCCAGGATCCAAACCCGGGCCGCCAGCAGCAGAGTGTGCGCACTTAACCGCTATGCTACGGGGCCGGCCCCCCGTAGATCCTTTTTATATTCTTTATAAACAATTACAAAATATTTTGTTTCCTTATGCTTTTAATTTTTATGCTTTGTGCTTTTAATTTTTTCCCCAATCTTTATGCTTTTAATTTTTTCTTGTCTTAATGAACTGATGAGGACTTTCACTATAATTCTGAATGGAAATTGTCTCTCTTTGAATCTTCAAGAGAATACTTCTGTGACTTTCTCATTTACATTGAAGTTTGCCTTAGGTATTTTTGAATAAACCACTTTTCAGATTAAGGAAGTTCAATGATATACCTAGTTTATTGAACACTTTTTCTTTTTATCATGAATGAATATTGAATTTTATCAAGCACATTTTCTATTTCTGATTACATGATCATATGTTTTTCCCCTTAATTTGTTAATTGACAAATGACATGTTCATGTTTTATGTTAAACCAGTTTTGCATTCCTGTAACAAATCCAAGTGGATATTGGTGTATTATCTCTTTTATACACTTTTGTTCAACTTGCTAATATTTTATTTAGAATTTTTACATCTAAATTCATGAGTGATAAAGGCTCGTAATAGTCCACTCTCTTCCTTTGTCTAGTGTTTGTATCAAAATAACACTGGAATCAGAATGAGTTGGGGATTACTTCTTCTTTTTCTATCCTCTAGAAAAATTTATATAAGATTGGAATAATACATTGCTTGAAATTTGGTAGAACTTGCCTGTGAAACTGTCTGGGCCCTTTGTGAGAAGATGTTTAACTATTTCTAGTTCTTTAACAATTAAAGGATTACCCAGGTTTTCTGTGTCCTCTTGAGTTAATTTTGGTAAGTTATATTTTTAAGGAATCTTCATTTCAGCAGCTAGCATTTCACTATCAGTCTGACTTATCTTTCTTTCTGTTTTATATTTTTATTGCAGTAATATTGGTTTATAACATTGTATAAATTTCAGGTGTACATCATTATACTTCTATTTATGCATAGATTACATCATGTTCTCTTGTTCACCACCCAAATACTAAGTACAATCCATCACCACACACATGTGCCTAATCATCCCTTTTGCTCTCCTCCCTCCCCCCCGTCCCCTCTGGTAACCACCCATCCAATCTCTGTCTCTATGTGTTTGTTTGTTGTTGTTTTCATCTTCTACTTATGAGTGAGATGATACGGTATTTGACCTTCTCCCTCTGACTTATTTCACTTAGCATAATACCCTCAATGTCCATCCATGTTGTCACAAATGGGGGGATTTCATCGTTTCTTATGGCTGAGTAGCATTCCATTGTGTATACATACCACGTCTTCTTTATCCATTTGTCCGTTGATGGGCACTTAGCTTGCTTCCAAGTCTTGGCTATTGTGAATAATGCTGCAGTGAACACAGGGGTGCATGTATCTTTACACATTTGTGATTTCATGTTCTTTGGATAAATACCCAGCAGTGGGATAGCTAGATCGTATGGTAGTTCTATTCTTAATTTTTTGAGGACTCTCCATACTATTTTCCATAGTGGCTGCACCAGTTGGCATGCCTACCAACAGTGTATGAGAGTTCCC